CATGTCTTGCACGGTCCGATGTCTCCCTTTACCCCCTTATCTGTTGTCCAACCCCCCTGGGAAGGGGTTATTTGTAGGCCATTGTGATCAGTTCCCCCTTTCTTCCCCCACCTTCCCTGCCCCTCCTGGTATGGCTACTCTCAATATTGGTCCTGAGGAGTTTATCTGTCCTGTATTTCCTGTGTTTCTTGCTCTTCAGGAGTGATTCACACCCTTTGTTTCTTAAATACCTGGTGCTTACTTTGAAGCGTCTCCCTAGCGAGATCAGGAATCCAAGATGAACACATTGCCCATTCTATTGTGTATGTATTAACAAGAGGCTTGCAGGCCTCAGTGCTAATAAACCTATTGTTGAATACACCCTTGACTCTTCTCGGACTGTTGCAGACGAGTCCCCTGCACTCTGCTGTCTGGCTTCCATTCTCTCCATAACTGCACACATCGGTCCTCAGGACCTGTTCCACTGTGGGGCTTGACCTCCCACTTTAATGCTTCCTGATATCATTCAATAGTTTGCCCATAAACAAACAACCCCCCCACCCCACAAACTCACTGCCATCACGTTGATTACGGCTTGTGGGGACTGTATTGGACAGGGTAGAACTGCCCCTGTGGATTTCTGAGACCAACTCTTCACAGGAGTAGAAAGCCTACTCTTTCTCCTGTGGAGTGGCTGGTGGATTTGAACTGCTAACCTCATGGTTAACAACCCAGCGAGTAACCCCCTACGCCACCAGGGCTCCTACTTTGCACATTGAATCATTTAATATTGCAGCTGGGGGCTTCTATTTTGATTTTAGTACTTCCAGCTTAAGATATGCGAAGTATGTTCTTCTATATCCAAGTCTTTGCACATTTCATTATCATATTTTTCTTTGGCTTCTTTGAAATGTTTTATTCAGCTTTTCCTTCATTATTTTTTCCAGGTACTTTATTTAGCCACTCTATGTTCAGCAATGTTTAAAAGCAAACTTCAGTCTCTTCTGACGTCCACTTTGACCTCTTTGCTATGCACTTGTGAAGCCCTGCACTTGTGATGCTTGTATGAAGGCAGCACTCGATAACTGTCTATCTTATGGAATATTTCCTGACAACGAAGAACACAGGTGAGCCTCGAAACGATTACGCTAACAGAAAGAAGTCAGTCCCAAAGGACTACCTGTCTTATAATTCCCTTGGCATGATCTGTCCAGAATAAGCAAGTCCTTAGAGGTTGAAAGTAGATAAGTGGTTGGCAAGTGGAAGGGGATGAAGGTAAGGGGAATGTTTCAGCTATGTGGCATTGCTGTGACAGAAACAGCACACGAGGGGTGGCTTTCACACACAAATGCATTCTCCCATAGTTTAGGGTGCTGGAAGTTTCAGATTCAGCGTGACAGCTCTAGGAGAAGTTTTTTCTTTCTTTCTGAGCTCTAAGGAAAGCGCTTCGTCTCTTGTCAGCATCTGGGACTGGCATCCCGGGAGAGCCCCCTGTGTCTTGGCAGCCATGGTTCCCTGGGTCTAGGACTTTCTCAGGGCAGGGACTCCAGGTCCTAAGGACACACTCCACTCTTGGCTCTTCCTTCTTGGTGGTAGTAGGTCTGATCTCCACTCACTTTTCTTTTATCTCGTGTAAAATAA